GTTAATTGAAATATTTGCTTTATATTATAAATTGCTTTTGTCTGATTATCAGGATGAAGTTCAAAGCAACAGACACGCCCAGTGCTTCAAAAGACGCTCATGACTTCAGACAAGACAAACAGTAAGAAGCCAGACTACATGTAATGTTGTTATATACAGTAAGCTAAGTGTTTGTCCTACACTGTAACAGTATGTTATGAATGCTTCAGAAATGATTGATTATTTTGATATCTTCTCCGAAGTGATCTATAGGATGATTCATTCTCCACTGAAGTGTTACAACCGCCACTGCAATCTCTTTTTGTGACAGGTGTCAATTTTGTTTTTCCTGTCATAATTTCAAAACAAATAATACATTACGTGACTTTCAGGGCAAAAGTAACCGGTCCCAGATCCAGTTTGGAGTCTCAGAGAACTATTCAGGGCATGGATTTGCGTCCATGTCCTAAGTAAGACAAAAGCATTTTGAATTTTGAAAAATACGCTAGACACTGAAATCCACAGTAACTTCTTTTAGCTTCTAATCACATATTGCTGACATGGTTGGAATAAATGATATCCTTTATCCTTTTCCTGTGTCTAATTCCTTTTTCTCAGTGTCAGTCGGTACTATCCAGAGACAACAGAAACCGCATTCTCATCTGACCCGTCTGATAATTCATCGACTATGACTTCTGGATCAAGGGATTCCCAGTATGACGAGCAGACAGTTTCATGTGATGACATGTGAGGCACTATTTAAATTCACTATATTAAGGTACTCCAGAAAATTCCTTAAAAACTGATCAAAATTGATTCAGTCTGTCTTGACTTTTGGTCACTAAAAATACTGGTTCCTATGCTTCCCACAATGCAATTTGGCATCTTTTTCTAGACCCTCCCTACTACTAATCAACCTTATCTTTTAATCTCCATTTGCCACGTTGGAAAACATACTTTTTGTTTGCCATCTCTTATGCCTTATGATAACCCTATTGCTCTTATATGAATTTCCATGATATTTCACCAACTGGATAACCTATTTCTTTCATCATATCCTGTGTAGCCACTACACTAAATTTGCTTCACATCCAAGCGCTGTTCATGGGGCGTGTTTGGTAGCTTTTGTTGCACCTGCTAGGTTAAGAGGCAGAAAGGTTAAGAGAGCAGTGACAACACCACATGACATGTAAGAAATGTGTCATTATGATATATGACTTTACATGAAATAAAGGTGTAAATGGGAAAAAAACAGTTATGAATAATATATATGAATTTATATAAATAAATATTAATTAATTAATTAATCATTAAGAAAGAAAAATTATTAAAATTAATATAAAAATGGTCCAATATAATTCTGTTATTATGACAATAAATGATAAACTAACATTTCACATTTATGAGTTGGCTTCAATAATAATTTTTCTTAAATTTTCTCACTGTTAATTGTTAATTTATTTATATTTACACAGTCTATTCATTTTCATTTCATAGTGGTTTTTATTTATTACTGAATATTTTTGGGTTGCATAAGTACAAAATTGGTGCTTAATATGAATAATTTGTAGGAAAAGTTGATTGTAGGGATTTATAATAGCCTGCTTTCTCACAACATAAACAAATCTTGTCTATATTAAGAAGTCTCAATAAAGATGTTTCTGCATATAGCTTTCTTTAAAGCAGCAAAATGTACATTGCAAGTTCAGCATCAAACTTCATTCCCTTACTTGTCAAGAACTGTCTCTGGTGGCGGAAAGAAACGCCAGTGATAACTCTTGTTTTGTATCTATTTATCATGTCTTTTCTTTTACTGAAGGTAGCATGCTAAATAGCTGGTCCCAGCCCAGCTTGTATTATATTGTAATCATAACCAACACCTGCTCCTGGCAGGAAACCACATTCACTGGCAGAGAAAACTTATATATTGCACCTTTAACTAAGAGAAACACTTGGCTATTCCTCTAATTATTATGGTTCAGTACAAGGCTATATGCTAGAACACTTATCATACATTCCTATTACTACTTTAAGTAGTAAATAGCAGCTGCATTTTATGTCTCTATTTGAAAACAGAGACGAGGAGGTCATCTGTGACATTTGCCGCCAGCGTGTGGCTGTGAAGACCTGCTTGACCTGTAACACTTCCTATTGTGAGTATCATGCCCGGCATCACTACACAGTGGACACCCTGCAGAGACACACACTCAAAGATGTGTGTGCTGAGGTTGAGGGGAAACGCTGTCTGCACTACGAAAAGTCTCTAGATTTCTTCTGTAGGACCGATCAGATGCAGATCTGCAGCATTTGTACAAAGAGAAATCACAGAGGACATGACATCATCTCGCAAAGGGCACAGCGTGCTGCAAGCCAGGTAAAAATCTGAACATGTATAAATAATGGGAAAAATATCTTAATGTGCTGTATAGGCTAATGATTATTTATACTATTCTATCACAGATGCTTGGTGGTGAAGATTGCCAGGAACCTGATCAACCTGTTAAAGGTGAGTCAAAATATCAGATCCCTAATTACAGGCACACTGATACACGTTAAATTTATTGGATGTAAATGCATACAGATGTACAGAATACAGTACAATACAGACATTCTCCACTTGATAAATCATATACTACATCTGAAAGAACAACTGTAGAATTTTGTGAAGAGGGTTGTAGAAATTATTTCACATTATCATTTAGTCTGTTATTGGAACCAATGAATGGAAAAGTGATATCAAATAATCTTTGAAATTTGCCATAACAGAGCAGACTAATAAGGAAACAATGAAGGCTGCCTTTGATGCGATATATTTTTATGACAGGATGACTTTGTCCTCAAGTTAGTCAGCATTTTGTCCGACACGGCTGGGCAAAGGAAAATCTATAAAATGTGATATGTGGTGTTGTACAGTATCAGTCGATCTTATTCCTACATATCCAGACTTTCTGGTGGTTACTGATTCATTGTCAGTTGTAGCATTTACAGTAGTAGCATTTATTCAGAATTAATTCTTTCTAATGACACTGCAACAGAAATTCAGGCACAGAGCAATAATCCTAAGAAATGAACTGAACTGAACTAATTGAATTACTTTTCAAAGTGTGGATTTGCCAGGGAGAGTTAAGTGTGTACAATCCAATATGATAAAAAAAAAAAAAAAAAAAGTTTCTCAGCATGATCATGTTGAACAGGTGGCACAAGTAATTTTTTTTGTACTGTCTTATGTTTGCCAGTGGTGCCCCCTCCTGGTAAGATCGAGTTCCAGTCAGTGAAGCCAAACTCCCTGATCCTGAGCTGGGGTTGCCCACAAGGACTGGACGGGCCTAAGAGCTTCCAAGTGAGGTGGAGCTCCTTGATGAAGGTGGTAGGTTGCTTGCCCATCAAAGATTCTCTTAAAATTGAAATAAACAACCTTCAGCTTGGACAAAAGTATCTCTTCAGTGTGGCCACTGAAGATGAGGATGGCAATTTTAGTGAATGGATCACGGCATCTGTTTTCACAGGTAATATCAGATATGCTGAGACATTTCATATTTCTTTCACTGCAGTTTGTTCACATTTCATTGAGCCAATGAAATCATTTTTATTTCAAATGACTTCTGTCTTGCAGCGGTGCCCCCCCCTCGACATTTAACAAAAGGACATTCAGAGGCCACGGCTCTGTCCTTGAAATGGACCAAAGCAGACAACATGGAGGGAATTCCACATCAGTTCCTTATCACTGTCACAAGTCCAGGGAAAGAGTCATCAGTGATCCACACTGAGGACTGCTACAAGATGTTCTCAGATTTAGAGCCGGACACAAAGTATAGTATATCTGTCTCAACTGTGCTGAACGGTCAGAGCAGTCAGCCAGCCTCCATCACCATACACACAGGTGAGAAGTTACATCGCCTCCCAAAATCCATAACATGTCTGTCATACTGCACCATAGTTACAAGTGAGCTGAAATATTGGGAGCAACACAATTAGTAGCGTTTCATTTTATAATACAAATACTGTTTATTTTAATATTTAAACCATATTAGAGTCAAATATATTTGTGTATTTTTGTATAAAAAATTTAATTTTATATTATAAGAAAGTATGTATGACGGGTGAACCCAAGAGAGAGAAAGAAAAAGGGAGAGAGAGAGAGAGAGAGAAAATGTAAATTAGTACTGAACTTGCATAAAGTCAAGCTTAAAAATGCAGGAGTGTTACCAATTCACCAGAACAGACATTTACATATGGAGATGAGGGTGCGCCTTTTAAGACAGTCTCTCCTGAAAGGCATTTGTAGTGTTGCACACAGTTGTAAACATGAAAAGTGGCAGAAATAGGTGTGTATACAATGAAAGAAAGACAGCTTTCTCACTTCACTGCTGCCGGTGACTGTGTGGGAATGGTAGTAATGTCAAATTGTTGGTCTCACATAGTTACAGAAAGAAAAAACACCGGAAAGGTGACAATTGACAAACAGTCCTAATTTATGTTACTGCCTCTCACCCTCTCAGCTCAGTGTGTTAGCATGCTAACATTAGCAGTCATTAGGATCCATCATGAGCGAACATGGATGTTTGCACAAAGTTGCATTCAATGAATCCTATACTTCATAAAACTAGAATTTCATGGCAAAGCATCCGATGATTAAGATGTATTTCAGCCTGGACTAAAGTGGTGTACTGACCAACAGACCAACAGCATGACATTGCCATCCATAGAGCCATGCTTCTAGAATGGGGAACAGTATCGGCAGATGCTCAAAACTAAAGAATCAGGATTTAAAATCCTAAACCAAGATAATCCTGATGTTATTATTACTGGTGATTTTCTCTGACTTGAAAAAGCTCCTTAGACAGACAAAAAACATTAGATTACATACTACATTTTGACTGGCTGAGTACCATTTTCCATGTGCCAAGTTAAGTGATGAAGGGAAGTGTAAGTGAAGTGAATAGTGAAACTGTAGCATCCTGTACATTCATTGGACTCTTGTTGATTTTACAGAGCCATGTCTCAGGGAGGTTCTGTCAAAGATGGGACTTGAAGACCAGTACGACAACAAGCTCACACTTAGCACTGTCCTAGAGATCAGTCAGAATGATACATCAGAGAACAAACTTGAAACTGCAAAGTCACTTCCTGGGGCTTTTTTAAGGAGACTTATGATGTTGAACGCAAATGCTAGAAGTGTCAAATGTGTGTCCTGCGATGTGGACACAGACAAGAGCAATGCCATCAACCCCCTGGACCTGATAACTGCATTGCTTCTCTGTTCGGACAGCTTTCTTCAGCAGGATATAGTTCTGAAAATGGCGCTCTGCCAGTTTGCCGTCCCTCTCTTGCTGCCCAACAGTGAAACAAGAGAAATCACAATGATGCTGTGGTCCATGCGCGACATTGTGCGAACCTTCAGACCGTCCCTGCAGGCATTCAGAAAGTTAAACTGTGAGGAAAGAATTGTGCACTCTGATATTCCTCTGGTGTCGTTCGTCAGGCTGGGGAGGACAAGCCTCTCCAAGTCTCTGATCTTGAACAAACTGCTAAGTAACACTACGCAGTACCACAACAGCACATTTTATCATCGGGACATGGTGTGTGGTGAAGTCCCCAGGAGGATTTCAGGTGGGCTAGTTGAAATCAGCTGGTATCTCCCGTGTGGGAACAGGAGCGTTGACAAATTCATCGAGCCACTGGCTGTTGCAAACCTCAGAGGAGATATCAGGGCTTTTGACGAGCAGTTTTCATTCCTCTGTGAGACATCTGCAGCTGTTTACATCTTCTGTGATGAATCAGAAATGGATTACTTCAAGCGTCTGGAAGGAAAAGATGTGAAAGCAAATGTCTTTTTGATCAGCAGTGTACTGGGGAAATCCTTTACACTCAAAAGGATGATAAAGGAGCCACGATTGAAGATAGCTAATGTTAGCCAGAAGAAAAAGACCGATATGGAGCTGATAAAAGCCCTCCAGGAATCAATCTCCAAGATGCTAGAAAACTACCAAAACATAGTGTCGGTCGCAAATCAGGCCAACAGAGCTCGCTGGTGTGGGATCCTGGTTGATGAGGACAGCGATGAATGCCAGAGCGCATGGAAAGATGTGGACAAAATCACCAAATGCATCACTGACACGTCTGAATTCAAAGACAAACAACTGCCTCTCCGGGGACACATCTGGAAAGCGCTTTCGTGGCTGGAAACAGAGTGCTGGAGAATGCGGAAAGCTGGCAACCAGAACACTGAAGTCTACCGCAAGTCTTTGCAAGCAAAAGAAAAAGAGCTGAAAAAGAAGCAGCAAAGATTTGAGATTACAACTGCAATGTTAAACTTCCTTCATGGGGTAGTCACCTCAGAAGTGCAGCGCTACTATTTTCTCAAATGGCTGGAAATGGAACTGGACGATCTGTCCCGGCAGCAGGTGTCATCTCTGCAGGATCGATACAAAGAGCTACTCCAGAAATCTCCCCAAGATGCTGAAAAAATTGCGGAGATTGACAAGCAAATTTCTGTTTGTTCTTTACGTCTGGAGCACTTTTTTGGAGAGTGTGGGCGGCTGTATGAGTGCACGAGTTACATGCCAGAGTACAGCCGTCAGAGAAAAACCAGAGAACAACTCCCTGCACTGTATGCTCAGATGCTGCTGGATGGTTTCCCTCTTGAGCTTGTTGATGGAGATGCAGCAAACATCCAGATGAAATGGATCACTGATGTACTCACTGAGCTTCACTACAGTATGCAATCCAACAGCAAACTCAAGGTCGTTACGATCATCGGAGCTGAAAACTCAGGAAAATCGACTCTGCTCAACACCATGTTTGGAGTCAGGTTCGCTGTCAGCAAAGGAACATGCACCAGGGGGGCGTTCATCCAGCTGATCAATGTCAACAAAGACATGAGGAAGGAAATGGGTTGTGACTGCATCATGGTCATTGACACCGAGGGACTGAAACCAGATCAGATGGTTCAAGACGATCACAGCCATGAACGTGACAAGGAAGTAGCGAGCCTCTGTGTGGCGCTCAGTGATGCCACAATCGTCACCGTTTCCAGGGACAACTCCAGAGAGAAAGACATCTTAGAGTTGGTGCTTCATGCTTTCGCAAGGTTGAAGGATGTGGGCAAGAAGCCGCTGTGTCATTTTGTACATGCTAACATGTCTGACATGCCTGTTGTAGAGAGGAGGAGGAGAGATAAAGAGTTGATGGAGCAGCTCAGTGAACTGATCAGGAAGGACGCTGGGATGAGGAAGGCCGACATCACAAAGGTCTCGGATGTGATGGAGTTTGACCCGGACACTTGCAGCTGGTACATTCCTCCACTTTGGCATGGGACTCCACCCATGGCTCATTTTAGTGTTGACTACAGTGAGACTGCGCACGCTTTGAAAAAGCGACTGATAGGCGACCTTGCAAAGTGCAAGGAAAGAGGCGATCTGACGCATTTTGTCAGAAGGGTAGAAAACTTCTGGAAGGCTGTGTGAGGAATCTGATGTGAACTGATGTGAACTCTGGCAAAGGGAATCAGAAACAAATGAAATGAACAAAGGAATCTTATTCACCTTTTATTTAATTTACAATGCACCTGCAGAACACTGTACAAATAAAACATTAAATGTATATATGTTTGCATAAAATAAACATGCACTTCGATACAGTTTGTCAATTAATTTCCACCTGAATAGGGAAACAGAGGTATGACATAAACTGTATGTACAGCAGTGTAGCAGACAACCGAAATCATCCTCTTAGTGTCATCAAATCTGTGCCAAAAAGTATCTGCGAGAATTTGGTTGAATAATTATAAAATAATAAATAATAATTGTGGTTGAATTATATCAGAATTGCACAGGATATCTTTCTGAATTCTGAATTTATCTATTAGTTTGCACAATAAAGATATAAATATATAATCTCATGTATTTTCTCTATTATTAGCAAAGCACTCACTTTTGCTATCTATACTACAGTAATATTACACAGTCACAGTCATAACAGTTTTTCAGACGCTGTATTATTGAAACTGATAATAAATCCTCATATTTACATTTTACTTCAGATTCAAGTCAGGTAGTGTAGGAAACTGCATATTTAAAGGGTCAGTTCACCCAAATTATGAAAAAATTAAAGAATAAAATCTAGCCACACAGATTATTTGGGTTTTATTTGACCAGGATTTTAAACATATATTTTATGCTATGACCACAACAAACCAAATGCCACCTAACTCCAGAGTTTGAGGCAGAAATCTCGGACACGGCAACTAAAGCCCAAGCTAGGGTTTGGCTAAGTGCTAACAAGGAGTAATGTGAGAAAGGTATGTGAGAAAATGTGTTTTTCTTTCTAATTTGTGTGAACTGACACAAACACACATACATATATATACTCTATATATATATATATATATATAGAGTATATATTGTGTTACTATATGGTGTTGCTGATGTGATTCTCAGTTCAAATATATTCAAATTTAAATTAACTTTCAAAAAGACCCCAATTTTGGTTAAAGCATCTCCTCTATAATCTCTCATTACATGTTAAACACTTATTACAGTCACACAATGCTAACACATTGAGGGGATTGTTTTATATTTGAGAGATGATTAGGGTAACTGAAAAAACACATACACACACCAAGAAGTCTTTGTACATGAAAAAGAATTACAAGAACATTAACAGTGTGCAGTCTGGTCCATGTCGAGTTTAGTGCAGCAGAGTGACGAGTCAGCGAGACATCATTCGAACAAACTCTGTGGAAAGAAACAATATAAGAAAGAAATGGTTTGTAGTTATTTAAGTGTATTCTTTCTTTCTGCAGTCTCCTCTTTCTTCTTCTTCTGCTTTGCTTAAACATCCACCTATGAGCTCTATTTTCTATCATTTTTGGATGCTGCATGTATCCTCAAGGAACTTCTATCACGTCTCAAAATAATCATTCATTGTATTTGCATTGTTAGGGAATATTTTACTCTACTACCTCCTCAAAACTATTTCTGGTGCCTGTCTTTGAAGACATTTTCCCTTGTTCCTTTGCGTCATTTCCTCTTCCTCTGTTCTCAGCGTACCTACCTAAAGTATTAATAATAACTCACCTTCAAAGTCCACCTGTCCGTCTCCATTGAGGTCTACATCTCGCAGGATCTCGTCGATCTCTCGGTGGTTGAGCTGCTCCCCCATCAGCTTCTTCATGGCTTCTCTAAGCTCCCCGAGACTGATCTGTCCATCGCCATCAGAGTCAAACTGGGAAAGTGGATGTGGTAAAAAAAAAAAAAAAAAGCCAAAGAAAAGCATTAAAGCTGAAAGTGGAGGAAAAGGAGGATACTTAGGGGACACCAGAGGCAAAAAAAATGTACTATATAATATTGTAATATTGTAAACCTCTCTGAAGGCGTCCCTCAGCTCCTTGACTCCAATCATATCTGCGGTCTCAGCGAGCATCTTTGGACCCATCAGTTCCACGAAATCCTCAAAGTCCACTCTTCCACCACCTGCAGGGCAAGGAGATAAGTACACAAGCATGCATTATGATCTTTTGTAACACACAGTGCCGATGGGAGTTGTAGTTTGGGCATTGATGCTAGACAGAGCTCTAAGAGTTTTGCATTATGGAAATACAGCCAGCCCTCATATCACCAGCACCAGGTAAATACTACCAGGCTGTACATTGCACAACATTGCCTGGTGACATCCACATTCCTGGAAGAAGCTTAGCCTCTTTAATGACTAAGTCTATTCTAAATCTAAATCATTACATAGGGTTTCTTTGGCAACAGTTAAATAACTAATACCATATACTGATGAGACCAATGATACCTGGTGACATTTTGTTTGTGTTAAAAGTTCAAGTTTTTAAAGTCACAGATTGACTAAAAGCTTATTTAATCCATTGTTTTACTGTCCATATAAATATATTAATTTCACAAAAATGTATTCAAAACCATTTGCTCTCTACTCTAGGTCCTCTGTAGTGCAGATGTCGATCAGTGAATTACTCTCTTTTCCCTCAGAGACTACCACCAAGATGCCCTTAAGCAAGATGCAAAGTACAGCTCCCTTTCATGAATGTGAGTGTGTGGTCGAGTGTAACATCACAACTTTAAAGCCTCTAACATAACAATAGCACAGTATTTCACATTTAACTTCGGCAGCAGTTTTATACAGCTGGGAAAGGAGGGGACAACCAGAAATTTTGGGCCCTATGTCAACAACTCAATCTCTCTCTCTCTCTTTGTGTGTGTGTGTGTGTGTGTGTGTGTTTGTGCTGATGTAATGTGCTCCTGCAGGACTTACAGATCTGCTGGCTGAGTTCAATCAGTTCCATCTCTGTCGGCATGTATCCCATAGTCCTCATGCACTCCCCAAGGTCCTTACAGCTGATGAACCCGTCCTTGTCTTTGTCGAACTCCTTGAAGGCCTCACGTAGCTCTGCAGGGAGAATAAGAGTGAATGAGTGAGGGAAAGAGAGAGATACTGCTGTTTTAAGTGTATACTGATATGAATCACACTTTATTCTTTATTCTGAAAAAAAAAGGTCTGGAGGTGTGGAGATAAAAAAGAAGTGAGCTTTATACACCTCATCTTTGCCGTGGACTGTAATGGCTCAAGGCTACATTCTGCAACACATCTGAAACTCTGACAGCTGTCAGTGGTCAAGTTGCATTGTGGGTATAAAAACCACAATATCTCTGGTGGTTCTGATGCAACAATTTTGATCCTTTGTATTTTAAACTGTCAGTCATGAGTCCAGCCATGTTATAGGAGAGCCACGCTACATCAGTGTAGCGGGGTATTCTTTTATGTGTATTTCTTTCAGACCTGCTAATAGACTTTTCACAACCATAGGAACCAATGATCTATAAAACATTGTAAAAAAATAGGCCTATAACCTTCAATAAAACCATTAGTTACAACGTATAAACCCTTTACTGTATAACAGGTGCCTTATTTGAAAGAGGTCCCTTGATTTGCTTTAGTCACAGTTCGAAATTGGCAGTGTTTCTCTCTATAAAAGTTTTTAGTTAGTTAGTTAGTGATTCTTTATTTTAACAAATGTACTGAGTTAAAATCACCCAAAAAAAAAAAAAATCACAGTCATTTATTCCATAATCAAATACAAATTTGGTTGCTGTGAATGTGGAGTGTTAAAGTATGAGCCTGTTCCTAAACTGTTAAGAATAATCTTTTCTGCTGAAAAATAATCCTGCACTTTGATCTTATACAGTTCGAGTAAGAAAGAAAATCTCTCTCGCTTCACATCGCTGACATTCAAGGAGAGGGACAAGTCAGGGGAGTCTACTGTCCGCCATATGCAGTAAAGCACAGTTTTCAGTCAAACACATGGTTTTGAAAGGAAAGGCAGTTCAGGAAGAAGACAGGGGAGCGATGATGGAGTGAGGATTTGGATTAAGCTCTTGATATCTCTGTACCTTCCATTTCCTCTGGTCGTAGATCTCTGTCCTGCGGCGGCGCAGAGAGAAGACAGGACATACATACAGAGAAATGGACAGGTTACACACACACACACTTAAAATCTCACACTGTGTATTTCACACACACACAGTCACAATGACAAAAAAAAAAAATGCTAGAAACATTTTAGCGCTTCATCTTTTAGTGGGTCCTTCTCTCCTTTTTTTTTCTGTGAAGCATTTGTTCCATGTTCATCCGCCTGAGCAGAGATTCTGTTACAGGATTATTTGGTTTTTGATCTGACTGACCCTAATAACCTTTTTAGTAGATCTGCTACACAATCTCATGTCCAATCTCATTCTGCTCTTGCTGATGGAGAAGCTTTGAATGTCTGCCGAGCATATGCTCCAAAACAAGCATTCAATATGTATTATTAAAAAGAAAGCAGACGCACAATGACAAAACACAAAGTCTCCCTTCAGCCTCTGTCTCCCTTTCCAAACACACCAAAATAAGGTGCACGCATCTGTACACACACACTCACACACACACACACACACACATACAACAAAGCAGATGAAATGGTTTGTATGTTGGTACATTTCTGAAGAAAACAAAGAAAGCTACCACGGCTTAACATGTCCTGAGTTGTGCCATTGAACTTTACCAGTGGGACAAAAGTGAGTTTAAACAGTAACACTTTCAGCCACACCCAAAAAAACAGTTTATAGTTGATGCTGAATTGGCTTCAGAGTGCGTTGGCACTGACAAAAGGTGATACCAGGATAAGTTTGTTCAGGGCGTGTTCTGCGAGGCTGTGACATCAGCAGCAGGAATAATACAGACCTGGATTAGAGAATGCAGGGGAGAGAACAGTGTCAGGGAGATTACAGTGGCAAATTGTATTGCAAATCGCAGAGGCTCATCGGTTTTTCATTTCCCTATCTGATGCTGATTTTTTTTTCATCTGCATCTGTGCTGCCGTCCGGCCGGCACTTGATTGAACGAACATTAACACACCTGCACAGGCTGAACATGCAGCAAACAGCAAACACGCTTATACTATTTTTGGTGAGACTATCGACAAGTTTGCTAAAATATTTTACTGTCAGGTTGAGACAAGTTCAACCACAGGGTCCGGGGAGTACAAATTTAACTTGTTGTTCCTACTATTTTCAGCTTTCTGCTTTCATTTCCAAATGTCAAGTACCACTGACCGCTTCAGAAACTGAAATTCTATCATGTAGCGGAAGACAGATGCCATCAACAAACAAGGGACAAATGCAAACAAATGCAAACTAGAACGTATATGTGCTGTGTTCCTAAAGGAGCATTCGCTCTATGGCTTATTTTTCGTTTGCCAAAGGGGTTTAATAACCAGTCAAGGCTCACTCTCAGCCTGTCCATCTCATATACAAGGAACCCCATCGCTTTCCTCGATCCATGACTTAAAGTAATATCAGGAAGTGTGCTGCTGGATTACAGGATAGATGTTAGAAAGAGTTCTACTCTATAGGCTAAATGCTACCATCAGAATACAAACATTGCTCTCAATAAATATGCTAACATGCTGATGTTTGGCAGGTATGTTTACTATGTTCCTCACCTTAGTTTACTGAATTAGCATGCTAACATGTGCTAACAAAAAAAAGACAGGTAAGGTTGATGGGAATGTAGAAGGTGAGAAACCTGGGGGGAACTTTAATGTCTGTACCTACATTTTACAAGCCATGGAAGCACAGTGTCTCTTGCATGCTGTGTGTGAGAAATGGGGATCAAAAGGAATCAACACAAACTCTGTTACCCACATGCTGTGGTGTAGTATTTGCATGAGGTTGCTTTTCTTAACTCTGTCGTCCCATGACTTGTTACCGCTTTGCACTTCTGATGCTTGTGCAAATGAGTGAGCTTATTATTTGCTTTCTTGCATAGTTACATGAGAAGACTGATACCACTCTTACGTCTCTTCTTAAAGTATGAAGCTACCAACATGAGATGGTTAGCTTAGCACAGTCAAGGGGGAACGGGAGAAAGAGCTAAGAAAGATAGTAATATCCACCCACAAGCAGCTTTAAAGCTCACTAATTAACTCACTATATCTGGTTTGTTTGATCTGTACAAAAACCAAAGTGTAAAAATGAAATGTGGTTTATGGGGGGTTATTTGCGCGACCATTTCAATGACTTTCTGGATTTTCTGTCTTCTTGTCATTAGGAAAGCAGTGCATTGTCAAGGAATTTACCGTACCCAGCCAGTCCAGCACAATGACCCCTGTAAAGCCAGGCTAGCTGTTTCCCCTTGTGTCCAGTCTTTGAGCTAAGTTAAGCTAACCTGCTCCTGGCTGTAGCTTCATATTTAGAAAGAAAAAAAAGCATATTTCTCTAGTGCAACTCTCCAAGGCGGTATGCAAAAATAGCGTAAGAACAAAACACTGCCCATAGACCAAGATCAGAAGACTATTTTCATTGGAATTGCATTTATTCATTTACCAAAGATAATTACAAAATACAGCAAATGAATTTAGAGCCTTAATGATAAATATATCATAAATAAAAGAATATTCTCACGTTTATTCACAGTTGTTATATTTTTCCTCTAGACTCAGCTCAAGGTCTTCTAAAACTCAGGAGCCTATAGCTCATTAAAGCACAGTGACTGCACCACCGCCCTAATGGCTCTTTTCAATTAGCGCTGCTGACTGAACTGTCAGGAAATTACTCTGTTATCGATCTGTGACACGTCTACTGTCTCTGCATAAGGCATTAATCTGAAATAAGAGGTGAACATGATATCTCCAGTACGGTTAGAAGGTTCAATTTATGGTCTATAATACTGGACAAATTGTGAGACCAGTTAGTCTGTCACTTTAGTGCAATCTGTTATATTACCACTTATTCTTTTTTTATAGCTCAGGATTCCTATAGGACATGCAGTATGTGTAAGTCTTTCTTTCTTTCTTTCTTTCTTTCTTTCTTTCTTTCTTTCTTTCTTTCTTTCTTTCTTTCACACCCAATGTGTTTTAAGGTTTCTTTGTACGAAACAAATTATATTCTGTGGCCATTCTCTTCTTCTACAATTGTTCACTTGGTGATATGGTGGTATACTGATGGAGGTCGGGGATGGTGGGGCTGGTGAAATGTCACTGGTGGAGATGGGAGGGGAACGCTGTGATGTCATACTGAACTGATGAGTGAGACTGTCAGTAAACTATTAAAATAGATGGATGAACAGATTTATGGGAGATTTTGGCTATGATAATTCTGTACAGTGTGTGGACATATATTATGTGTGTGTGTGAATGCCATACATACAAGCTGGCTCTGTGCGAAGCCCTGTCTGAGGAAGATACAAGCAGGCCCCACTATGTTGTGCAGCATGTTGCAGTTCTGAACCAGAGCGCACAGGGGCTCCTCAAATTCCTGCTCACTCCCTCCTCCATCCTCGTCCTCTGTGTCCGCCTCACCTGCACCACCCAGTTCGCCCAGCATGGCGGCAGCCAATGGGGCGCTGCTTCGTTCTACGGGGGACACTGCCTTAGAGGAGGGGAACCAGCCGGTGTAAGAAAGAGATAAAGTTACTACTTAAATTCCACTGACTGCAAAGAAAACAGGCAAATCACACCTTAGTTTCTCTCTGTTATGGCAGTAAAATTTTTAAATATACATTTTATTGGAAACAAAATCCATTGTTGTCCAACAGGAAGTTGTTTACAGCTCAAACATAACTTAGAAATTGTCAGATGTACAACTAACTTTCATAAACTAGTTTAGTTACATCCACAAGGCATCATCCTCAATATCTTAATCAGTTGAAACACAGTGTAACCAATCTATTTTTCTCAGCTAAAAGCAGTTGAATTAATCCTTACCTTCTTCCTTTTACTGTTCTTTTTAGAAGCCTTGTTGATGTTTCCCATCACCCTGCCTCTCTCTCTCTTCCCCTCTCCCTTTCCTCCTCGTTTGTCACCACACTTCTCTTGTCTCTCCCCTTCTCTGTTCAAATGTCATATAAAAGTCCAAAATTCATACTACATCCTGTGCATCCCATGGGCCTTTCACACCCAGTGAGGCGAACGCAAATGATTCCACTGGCACCACTACTACCAAAAGCAACTCCTCTCAGTGCACGTGCTATAATCCAAGATCCTATTGGTCCAGTGAGAGACAAGGTAGGCATATGATGTCGCATTAAATCCTTAACTCCTATAGGTTGGTGGAGGCTGACATGATGAGCTTTGAGATGTGTAGTGTGATATTAGGGAACAGCAACAGGGTGCTGGAGATTGTCAGGGTGGGGTGGGAGAACCGGGTCATATCTGGGCTGAAAACAACCTGCTGCTGCCAGACTGTGGCTCTGATTGCATGACTCGACCATTTCCTCTCTCGCTTTCTATCTCTCTTTGCCTCTCTCTCTCTCTCTCTTTCTCTCAAACACACACACACACACACACACACACACTTTTTCTGTTTATCTGTCACCCCCTCTTGCCTGGGTGATCCCTTGAATTTGGACCAACTTAATCTAATCCATCCCACCCACCTTCCCCTCTCTGCCACTCAAACATCGTGCTGATGGTCTCCAAATGACTAGTCTGGCAGAACTCTAGGTATGTGTGTGTGTGAGAGAGAGAGAGAGAGAGAGAGAAAGAAAGAGAGAGACAGAAAGAGAAAGGGGGAGGGGATGGTAGAATTATGGATGGAGAGTTGGCTGCCTGTTTAATCCCTGGCATTTCAGATTAGTGGGGAAGAGTTATGTTGACAGGCCATGGGAGTACGGGCTTTGGAGGAATGGGAGGTGGGAGGAATAGAAGAAGAAGATTTATTATTATTAGTCAGCCCCTATTAATGCACAAAACAAGGGAAAAACAGTGGGATGATAGAAATGGAAAGGAAGCGACATGATACAGTATAACATCAAAGAAAGTAACTGTGTAATTATTGGAAACAGGTTGCAAAGGGAGAGAGTAAATGTGACATTTTTTTTCATATTTCTTTTTATCTGTGTTGATATCAGTTACAGGGCAGTGTTTTAGAAACACTGACATCATA